TGTTGGAAGAAAATCGTTAATTAATTAACCGTTAACATATATTATTAATATGTCACTTTCACATATGTTTAATTGATTATGTGGCATATGTTACGTCATCATTATGGATGATGTGCCACATGACATTAACACTATGAATGACGTGGCATATATCATATTAAATGTTTGAATGATGTGACACATATCACATTAATAATTAAACAGATGTGAAAATATTACGTCAGTAACATGTGTTAACTTTTAGTCAACTAACAATTTTCTTCTAACGTAGAGTATTTAAACAAAAAAAAAATTGAGATTGAAAATACTAAAAAAATAGAAATTAAAATGATCAGATGTAAACAAAAATTTAGGATAATTTTATCATTATGTATTATTTAGTATTATGCTTTCTGGTAAATTTAATCCCAGCTTCTGAACCCAAGCTTCCTCTGCGAAAGTTCAACCGGGAACTGATTTGTTCAAAAAGATGGTTAGCCTAGCTTCGAAGGGGTTTTTGAAATGGGCCTTTGCTGCACCTATTTGAGATCATTATTCTACAAATTGAGTTGTGATAGTTTTCTGGGTTATAAATGCATCAAGGAATACTCGCTTTACAATTTTCGGTGCAGGTATTTCATTCTAATACGCATCTGTTAAAATTCCCAATTGGGAGGATGATATAAGATAACTTCAATCCTATTCTGGTACATGGCATGATCATATGGTATCTGAATTGGATTGTATGACTCATTTGCGTATGGTTTTTGTCTTAAATGTATTGTTTGCAGAATGGGTATGGATACATTCTTGTCTTACATTCCCATTAATCATTTTAGGATCATTCCAAGTGAATAGCTTTTCAAATCGATCTGCTTTCTGTTTCTTATCGGACTGAATGCAATGCATGTTGTTGCCTGTATTCCTCTCTCCGATGCCTAATTTACAGATGCTGAAGCAATGCCCTGTTGGATTAAAATGTGGGAAAAAAAAAATCTGAAATGAATCAATATCACCACTTACTAGAATACTTGTTTAGATTAAAATGTGTCACTTCCCAAGTATAGAGCTCTTAAACAAAATTCTTACAGTTTGCAAGTTAACCTGGAAAACATATCTGGACAGAGGAGTACGGGTGTTCAATTGGTCTTCGGTAAACCGACCGAATCGAACCGATAAAAAACCATTAATCAATTTTTTTCTTAACCATTAACCAAACCGATTTCTTTTAAGAAAAAATAACCGAACCAAAGTTTAAATATAAATTATATATAACATGTTAAATATTAAATATTTCGGTTAATTAATTGTTTTCAAACTAAATTAACTGATAATCAAAGTTTGAAAAAATCATTAACCATTGACCGACCAAGCCTAAAATTAACAGATCGATTAACCGAAAAAATAATTTAATTCAATCAATTAATTTAGTTAAAACCGATTTATGAACACCCCACATGGTAGCACGAGAATATAATTCTCTAAAGACAACATTACATTTGTTTTCTAAATCCCTATGTGAAATTCCCGAGTTCTTATATCAAAAGGCCTATCAAAGTCTGTTATGGGGGGGAGGGAAACTACCTTTGTCGATTGCTATAATCGGAGCTTACCACTTTATTCACCAAGACTTACTAGGAAAGCGCAGCATAAACTTTAGCTGCCTTGAATTGCAAGAAAACTGACTGGGAACCAAAAGAAACCCTAATGAAGCTGGGTCTCATTAAGGATTGCAATCTAAGGTTACTTCTTCTATCCATCTCATCTTTTACAGTTAGTTCGTACAACGAACATGTCTCCGTGAAGGGTTCGATCTGACTCAAAGTGACTACATTTCCCAGAATTTCAACCTTGTTGTTGAGAATAAATAAAGAACCGTCCGTCTCCTCTCGAAGAATAAGGAACTTTTCATCAACTCCTAAGGTAATGGAAACGGGGCGGTTGTATCTGAAACCTGTTGCAGACTTCTTGTGTGCAAAACTGAAGTGTCCGCGTAACTGCTCCAATGAACCCTCGAAGTTGCAGTGAGCAATGGGGCATGAACATGGCACAAAAGGACACCACTTGCCATGTTCCTGCTTCTTACTATAACTGAATGCTTCTAGGCACCCATACTTCATATCTGGCACGACATTTTGACAGATTCCAGGACCTTCTCAATCCCCCTGCAGCGACTATAGCTGGTCGGAATAGCACAGGTTGGGCATTTATTCCTAATTTGTTGGCAACAGGTTGAACAAACTAAATGCCCATTCTCACACTGAATTGCCAATCAAACATATAAAAAAACTTATTAGGATTCACTTAATATATGAAAGAACAAATAATGTATTTGCAAAAGTACAAACACACACACATCTGACTCCATTAACTTCATGTAGGCCATCAATCAAAACCAAAAGACCCTCAAGTCCAAAAGGAAAATGAACAATTTTACATAAGAAAAAATGACAAAACTTTCTAAAATACAGCCATTGTTGCAGATTAGAGGTTGCTCAGCAAGATATCTCCAGAAAAAGTTAATCATTCAAGATTATAGTCATAATTTTTCTTTATCCTAGCAAATTCCAAACTGATAATAAGCATTTCATGGTCTCTTACTCTATAATTGCTTTAAGTATTCGTGTCCGACACATTTTCAGACATAGACATCTTGCATACATAGAAAAACTTGGAAAAATTAAACATAAAAATATGTTAATCATATAAATACTTAGTCTATTAAAGAAGAAGAGGCCACAGATGGTCAATTATAGCATCCAACTTTGCATCAATAACTTGCACTAATGGAAATTAATCAAAATCTTCAGAGACAATATGAATGTGACGAAAAGACAGACAAATACCTTTTTCCCAAAATCAAGAAATTATACCAAAACTTTAAGCATTCACCAATAAACAGAAACCCAAGGTCAAGGCTTCTCAATGATAAAATCAAGAATATCTACAACCTTTTCGCCCATAAATTAAAAACCACATTCAAAATCCAATTCCTTCATAAAATCAAGAAAATAAACCAAAAATATGAATATTTTTTTCACCCAACAAGAAAAGATTCATATCCAAAATTCAAATATCACCCAAGATACAATAAATCAAGACTAACCAACCTGATGAGCTGGGATAGTCAAAGCCTGAAAGCAGATAGAACAATCAAGCACTCGAGGATCAGATAAAGTAAAAGAAATAGAGCCATCCCTGTTAGTTGCTCCTTGCTCAGCTTCACTTTCTTCTTATTCTTCCTCTTCACCGGAGCCTTCTGTATCCAAAATGCTTTCGACGTTTCGATGGTTACCGGTTCGGCTGCTTGGCTCTCCTCCTCCTGCTTCCATTTCCCCCTCTTTCTCCAAATGATTCCTTTTGTTTTACGATTAGGGTTTTAGTTGTGTTAAACAAGCTGATACTATATCAGTAAATACTCGATCTTGATCTTCTATATGATAATTTGAACTCGCAGTTTTTATAGGGTTTCTAATTTCAATATTAAGTGTGTCTGATTTTTTTTTTTTTGGAGTAAACTACAAATTATTTTAACTGAGTATGTTTTTAAGTACATAAATTATTATTTTTTGTTATGTTTTAATATTTTAATTTTACATTTTTTTAAATTATATTTAACATTTAGTTTATATTTAAATTTTTTATTATGTTGTTAAAAACTTAATAATGATATTGAGGTGACATCATAATATAATGTAACGTTAACATTTCTATTATTTTTTTAACGCTAAGATATTAAATTGAAACATAAATTAAATGTTAGGTATAATTATAAAAAAATTAAAATTTAAGTATCAAAACAGAATAAAAGTAATAGTTTAAGTATTAAACCTATACTTCACCCTTTTTATTAGGCTTAAATAATAGATTTAATATACTTCTTTAATCCTAACATTTACTTTCGTCAATTATATATTAGAAAATATTGAATTATTTATTATATTTAAAATAAAATTAATCATTTATTTTTTAAAAAAATATCAATCATAATAAGTCAATTAAGCTCTTAGCTATTTTTTTTCCAATTCGATATCTAAATATCTTTTATTACAAGTGTTTGTTGTTGTTGTTTTTATAACCATTGGTTTCCGATATCAATCTATTGATTAATTAGTCCGGATCGGACACTGTAGTGTAAGGTCGATCCTCTTAACCCAGTTTACTTCATTTACAATGATTAAGATTCGAACTTCTAATATTATTTAAGGGATCTAGTGACTCAATCCATTAGACCAACATATTTTAAATCATCTTATAGTCATTAAAAAAGTTTCAAGCCAATAAAATTATATCACGTCAATATTATTTTAGTCAAATTAAATTTGACTGGTTTTAAGGAAAAGATAAATAAGGTATTGATTTTTTTTCAAAATTTATTTTTATTGAATTTATTTTTTAATATTTTCATTTGATTTTGGTTTGTTTTTAAATTTTAAATTTAATTCAATATTTGTTATTATTCAAAATATTATTTTATTTAAGTTTTAATATAAAAAATAAAATTATTATATTTAATATTATATTTAATAAAATTATTTCTTTTTTCGCGTTATAAATATTAACTATTAAAAAAGTATGAAAGAGATTTTTTTATTAAATGAAATAACTAATATCAAATAATCAAAATGGAATTAAAATAATCAAAATTTGATGTTATAATTAATATTATTTTATTCAGTCAGTTTTCAAATGAATTGAAATTTATTGTAAATTTTTTAGTTAGATTAGTTTGAGTTTAATAGAGTAATTCTTTTAATTAGATTAATTTGAGGTTAATAGTTGTGTCTTAGTTATTAATAAATTTAAGTTTAAAATATATAATATATTAATATCTAATATTTTTGATAAATAATTGATAAGTTGAATTTCGAAATTTTCTTAACCATTAATTGATATAACACCTAATTACTCAATTGGTTAATCAAATTAGATATTAATTTAATTAATTAGATCATTTAAAACCGAACAATAAATATTCCAACCCAGAACTTATACTGTACCAACAATTAGGCTTTGGAGCAGTGCCTGGTTCTTCTTGATTGCTGTTAATTTTGGAATTGGAACCCTAGATTCATTTTGAGAGAGGGAGGGAGGAGTGGGCAATTGGAATTGGGGTCCAAGGGGATACTTTGGACTTTTTGACTTGCGCAGGCAAAGGCTACTCTTTTAATAAGGTCTCCATAGTTTTCCCTCAAAACCCTCTCTAATGCCCGCATTTCATCTCAGGTACTTACACTTTCTTCCCCATTCCCTCTTTTCTTTGTTTGCTTGTTTTATAATTTTTTTTTTTGGATTTTTATCCATTTTTTTAAGAATATTGAATCGCTTTATTAGGCTTTTTTAACCTATTAAAAATGAATTTGATCCGTATGCTCAACCTCAAGCTAGATTATTTATGCTTCAGCTCAAATTCGAGATGAAATTTTTTACTAAGTTAAAATAGAGAAATTGAATTCTGCTTGTAAGCTGTTCAAGTCCAAGCATTAGTATTAGTATTATTGTTACATTGTTTATGTTTTTATTGATTGCAGTTTGTAGCATTATTAAGGGCATGATACATTCCTGCACTTTTACAGTTTCGAAGTCTTTGTAAGTATTTACATTTTCTGTTCTATTTGTTGTACTCCATCTTTGTCTGCGCAAGTTAATAGTTTACTTTATCAAATACGCACTTCACTTTGCATGTATTTGAGATTTTAATTATATTACTAGTTGTTGGATTTCAGGAATTTCGGAGCTTTGGGAGTGAGGAGGTCATTGAATTTGGGATCGAATCTTTCGTGCAAGTGTTTGGTGAGGTCGATTAGAATGGATAATGGTACTGATTGTAGCGCGATGGATGCAAGCAATGAATCTAGAGGTGCCTTGGTAGTTTTTGAAGGACTGGATCGTAGTGGTAAAACTTCACAATGTGGGAGGCTGCTTTCATATTTGGAGGGATTGGGGCATTCAATCGAGTTATGGCGATTCCCCGACAGAACGACAAGTGTTGGGAAGATGATATCGGCATATCTGAGTAATGAATCGCAGTTGGATGACCACACAATCCATCTTCTTTTCAGTGCAAATCGGTGGGAGAAGAGGTTTGTTTTCTCATTATTTCAGTGCATTATATTCTGATTTAGAAAAATGTTTGCCTGTTGGAACTACATGTACCATGTACCCTATGATTGTCTTCTAGTTCTTGATAGATATGCTGTACTTACATGTTACTCCAACTCTTGATGTTTCTTGAAGTACCGTATCAGACACATTTTTGAACATGAATTTTGGAATATCACTCTCCAATGAAGATACTTGTGTCAGATTGATACCGATATGGGACACTTTTTATCAGCGTTTGCACAATCTTTGAAGTTTATTAGTGTTTGGTTTAATTCTTTTCATTAGAAATCTTGTTATCCATATTGGTTGAGGAAAATCCTTTAAACTGCGGTGCCCCATCTCCTTATCATCTTGGTCTACTTCTAGGATTTGCAATACTGCATTTCTCAACAAATTTTGCGATCTTTGAAGTTTTGGCAACAGATTCAATTATTTATGTTGGAACTTCTATTCTTTGCCAATATTGTTAATGGTGATCCTTTATCCTACATAGGATTTTTGAGCTCGACACAACTCGAAAACTGTTAAACTAAGCTCGACTCGGCTCGAAAACTCGCAAACTTAAAATTGTCAAGCTCGACTTGGACTCGAGATAAAAAATTGAAGCTCAACTCAACTCGAAAGCTCGCGAGCTTAAAATTTTCAAGCTCAACTCTAAACCAAAAATTGAAAGGCGACTCAAGTAGCTCGCGAGTTCGAAGAAGCCTTATATTGTATTTTTTTTAAAATAACATATAAATGTTAATATTATTTAATAACTTAATTTGAAAAATCTAAAATTTTAATATATTAATTTTTTCGAGTAGCTCGCGAGATTTTTGAGTCGAGTATCAAGTAGTTTGCTTCAGCTCGTTGAAAATTCGAGTTGAGTTCATTCGATTTGAGTGTTGACCGGGTTTCGAAAGAGTCGATCTCGAGTAGCTCGCAATTTGTCTTGTTTCATTTTCAGCCCTAACTACACTGCATGAACTTTGCTTCATATGTTTGGCTTCTGGGATTTGGCCTAGTTTAGAATTATACACTTTTTCTATTTTAGTGAGCATGATAAACTTCGCTAAAACTTGGGTCTGGGCAATCCATTGACTATGTTCATGTGTTTTTTATTGGCAGAACTGCAAGAAGGGCAAACGGGCTTGTCTTTGCACAAGTAGGCAAATTAATACCTCTGGATTAAAGTAGCCTAAATTAGCTGATCTTCGAATATTTATCAGATGAAATTATTAAAATTTCTAGGCTTTTAAGCCATTCAGACACATTCTGATGACATATTTTAGTGATAGATACAAGGAAAACGATGTACAGCGTTACTTCTTCAATGAACATATTTGCCTGTCCATGTTTAACTTGTTGTATGTGCTATGCATATGAACCATTCAGATATTAATGAATCTGTCATCTGCATATGCACACCTCTGATAGTAGTTTACAGCATTTAACATAAGTCAAAATCTACCACTGTTCGCAGATCAATGATGGAAATGAAACTGAAAGCTGGAACCACCCTTATAGTAGACCGTTACTCTTATTCTGGGGTTGCTTTCTCATCTGCTAAAGGACTTGATTTCGAATGGTGTAAGGTAAAGACACACTGCCAGAAGTACTCACTGATAATCAGTATTAAGTTATTTCCTAGCATGGTCCACAATAACAAAATAGGTTCTTTCCCTACAGGCACCAGAGATTGGGCTAATAGCTCCTGATCTAGTATTGTACCTCGAGATACCTCCCGAGGTTAGTCATGCACATATGTGCTTTCTATGCTAAAACTAGTGAATTGGATTGGTTATATTAAGCAACTTTCTCTGTTTTGAATTTTTTGGTTGGGTGATAATGACTTTGGTTATTCTCTCCTATAAACTTCCCGAAGTTTGTTATGTGAGGGACTTACACAACATTACCTCAACTTCTTATTTTTTTCTGAAATACCTGTGTTTGACATCCATGTCCAACATATACTAAGATGCAGTGTGGGGATTTGGTCCTCCAATTGCATGGAAATCTTGAAAAATTTTGAACATAACTGTGTTGGAAGAAAAGCCATGTCTTGACATTTACATCTGAGTTCAAGTAATATACAATTAATCTTTCATTTTCCATTTTTTCATGCCCAGTGAATATTTCATTGTTTCATATATGCAAGTCTTTTCTTTTTTATGGTTTACAATGGCCACCTGCTCAAAATAATCTGATTACGATTGATCTACAACTTTCAAATATAAATATAAATATAAATATAAATATAAATATAAATATAAATATAAATATAAATATAAATAAATATAAATATAAATATAAATATAAATATAAATATATATAATCAGTGCCCTTTCCCAGGGAATCAATGGTTCTAAGAAACTTGTGTCTTGAGTTCATTAACAAAGGGAATTTTAAAGATGGATTTCTTTATAAGTGATCCACTGTTTAGCCAATAAAAGTTACAGAAACAGCCAATGCAGTTTGCATTACACATTGTAATGAATATCTTATTTCAATTCATAGGTCGGTGATTCTGGAACTTCATGATTCTTCACACTTTGATTGGTTAACATGCATGTACATACCCACATATATATAAAATACTCGATGTAATATTTTCATAATAATCAGAAAGCTGCCGAAAGAGGAGGGTATGGAGGTGAGAGATACGAGCAGCTCAAGTTTCAGAAGAAGGTTGCCCAACACTATAAGCTTCTTGAAGATTCTTCTTGGAAGGTAATAGTGTGTTTCATCTTATGTCAAATAGCAAATAGCAACAAGGTAATAATTTTTGGAATTTTTGGAATTTGTTCCAGATAATTGACGCATCGCAATCCATGGAAGATGTGGAAAAACAGGTGAAGGAGACGGTATCGGAACATGTCTTGAGTTGCCAGAAAGGGAAGGCCCTTTCGTCCCTCTGGTCTTGCTAGTTTAGCTTCAAGTTGTGTCTGGTATAGGACTTAAAATGAGGTGTTTGCCTCAAAGTGTGTTGAATATTGTAGAATGTATTACTCCGGAATGCAGTTCTTATTGAATTAACAACTGCTATCGCAGTTGGTAACAATGTAGCTTTATGCGCTAAAAAAGTCCTTGCTCGGATTATGGTGTCTCAACGAGAATCGAATCTGATCTCGATTTACTTTAACAGATTGCCGTTAAGTTTGTTCCTAAGAAGTTGAATTACGATCAACCGATTCTTCATCCCAAACTGTAAATCCAAACAACATTCAAGTCAATGTGCGCTTTTTGAAATAAAAAGTGCGAAGATTTTAAAGAAAATATCGATTGTCAAATCAAGATATCAGAAAATCGAGAATATAATCCAAAGATGTTAAGTGTTTTTCAATTCTCACAAACGGAATTGAGTTAAAATTAAGCCTTTGACTAATTAAAAGTTTAGCTAAGTAGGATTGAAATCATGCTTAGCAATTTTTTTAAAATAAAGTAAAAAACTAAAGTAAAAAGAAAGGAAAAGAACTTTAATAAAATCCCGAGATAATTTTATAAAAAACAAAAGAAAGATGAACATGTTTAATCTTTACCCTAAGGGGTCATTTGGCTCACATCACACAACATTACCGGGGGAATGAAATCCACATTATCCCGTTTGGTTGGCCGGTAATCTTATTCCCGGTAATCTTTTATTACCAACATTGAATTTTTTGGGTATATTACCGGGAATGTGATTACCTCATTCCCTTAGGTATTGTTGGATTACCGGCGTTTTGGACTAAAATGCCCTTAAAAAAATTTCAAAATTATCATTCTTCTGTCGTTGAATAATAAAAATTCTAAGAAGGTTGAATTACAAATTTATCCTTAAACTATTTTAGATTTACAAAAAAAGTCCATAATTATAATTTTATGTGAAGTTTAGGGGCTAAAATAAAATTTTACCCTCTCTTTAAACTTATTTATCTTTTCAATTTTGTAAAAAAAAATTATATAAATTTTATGAATTTAAATTTTTTAAAGAAAATATATAAATTAATTATAGTAATATTATAGTAGAATTTAACTTGTTAAAAAAACAAATATATAATAAGGTCAATTTGGTAAAATATACATTCTAATAATATTTTATTTCTTTAACCAAACACAGTAATCTTACATTCCTACTAAACCAACCAAACACAAAATACAACATTCTCAGTAATCCTATTCCCTGGTAATATTTTATTTCTACTGTTAATCTTACATTATGTGAACCAAACGCACCTTAAGGGTATTTATAACCTTGGAATTTCCTAAAAATATCATGTATATTCAAAAATAAAAATATCCTAAAGATAATCAAAAGATAAATCTTAAAATGTTTTCAAATTCAAACTTATGTTCATAAAATAACTCCTTCTAAGATAACTCTATCCGTCCACCTTCCAGATAGTGTTGACTGAACCTTTTGAAAACTGCTACTGCTGCTTGTAGTGTGCAAAAAAAATCTGATTTGATCAATCAGATTCGTTGATCCGGTGATTCGGTCTGAAAATTTGGTTACCCAATCTATTTTTTTTATTTTTGAATAATTTAAATCGGATATCCAAAAACATTTTGGACAATAGGATCAGATATGGATCGAATAAACTTCAATTTCGGATTATCCAAAAATCCAAAAAAATAGGCTTTTAGACTTTAGATACCCCTTAGCCCAATAATTGAGTAACCTACTAAAGCTCTAACCTAATAAAAATTAGGATATTTAATTATTTATTGTGATATATATATATATATATATATATATATATATATATATATATATATATATATATATATATATATATATATATATATATATATATATAGTAGAAGTATTGAATAAATTACATTGAATCACAAAATTTAAAATCTAAAATTATTTTTTGTCAAATTTAATTTTAGATTCTGATTTGGATATCTGATCTGAAAATTTAGATATCCGACTTTTTCGGAGCGAATATGGATCATTATTTTAGGTATCCAACATTTTTTGATTAGATCAAATCCGATATCCGAATTTGTACACCCTTAGCTATTGCTGACTGAACCTTTTAGAAACTGCTGCGTCAGACCGCATCGTGCCCCAGGTCAAGCCAATGATTCCATCCTTGATTCGAGAAAATAAATAAAAAAAAACGCAAAACTCATCCCTTCTAATGTTATTTCTAAAAAATAAGCTCATGCACAAAATGAATCAAAAGAGTCAAAATCAATAGTATAAAAAAAACAAGAAGGAATAATTTTTCAACAAAATATGTGCAAATTAAAACATTAATTTTCACTTTCATTTTCAATTTTGTGTCCATTCTTATTTGATTTCTCTTTTCTAGATGACTTTCATTTTCAAGTTGAAAAATGAGTCGCATAAAAAGGTTTAAATACATTTTCTGAACGATCCAACCATGAATTTTCACAAATCAAAATATCAATTGAAAGCCCTCGACACATTCTACTCATTGGTGCAGTCAATGAAATACTCTAAAATTTGTTATAAAATTTATGAGCACTTTTTATGACCTTGAATCCATAAGCATTTATGATCTATGTTAAGGATATGATACAGCCCGAAATGAAAGAATACCTCATCCTCATATAAAATAATGGTTATTTATATATACAATACACAACCTGCTAACTAACCTATAAATTGTACAACAGAGAAAACTAACCAACAGAAAATTAACTACTCAACAATTTATGCTAAAATTTTGTTGGAACTAAAATAATAATTAAGTGATTAAATGTATATTTTACTTAATCTTTATTGACGTTCATCCTACACCACATTTAAAGAAATGCTTTTTATTTGATCTACAATTCAAATTTTGACTTCATTTCTTTTTGTCAAATTTTTTTTTGACTTCGTTTATTATAAAATAAACTATATTCAATAAGCTTTTCATTCATATAAATTAATATTTCTGGTTCAATTTATATGATTTATGACCAATTGTTAACTCCGATGTCAATGTTATTTTTAGAAACAGATTGCTCCCATGTCCTCACCCTTCATCACTTAAAAATTAGCAATGTTTAATATACATATCTAAATTAATTTCCATTTGTTCTGAATAAAATTAAACTGATACATGATTACAATGATATATAACTCACATATTAATTATTTGTATAAAATTTAGGCTTAAACTTAATTCCCCCCTAAACTGTACTCTTTTTTGTTCAAAATGAAACCTTAAACTATTATATGTAATCACTTGTACCTAAGCTATTTTTTTATCAAAATAAGTCCCTAAACAGTGGCTCCTTTTTACTTTAAACCCTTAAACTATTTTGTTAATCAAAATAAGTACTTAATTTTGTGTGATGTGTCAACGTCTTATTGGATGAAGATTAATTTTTTGACTAAAAAATAGTACGACTTAAAATGATTTAATATAATAGTTTAAGAACTTAGTTTGACCAAAAAATAATTTGGAGACTTTAAAAAAACAAAATATAATTTAAGTACTTATTTTTATTTTAAGCCTAAATTTTATGGCGATTATTAAAATATTTTAAAATTAAATAAACATAATAAGATAACATAAACTTGTGTTTATATTTTTTTATAACAAAGCAAGATTTAATGAGTTTAAGTTTACAAAGAACTAAATAAATATTTTTAATCAAATAGATTTAATAAAAATAATATAAATACGTGTTCTTATAATAAAATAAAATTATAATAAAACAAAATTAAATTTGAAAACAAAGGGGAAAAATATTTGTCCAAAGACTTGAACAGAACAAATATTTATTAGAAAAAATATTTTAAAATAGGCTGCATTATATCATTTAAGCACAAACCAACTTATCTATGTAATATCTCAAATTTTGACCAGTGACTAAACTGTAAGTTTTGAAAGTTTGAGGGCTTAAGTATAAACTTTATAAAAGTTTATGGACTAAAAATGTAATTTTAAAAAATTATATATTTTAGCCCGTAAATGAACATTTTGGCCTAAAACAAAGATTTTCCTTGGGAATTAGATTTTTGATACAGAATATGTGTTAAAAGATATAAAGCGATAAATTTCGGTATTGAAATTGGATAATCGGATCAAACCAGAATTTTATGAAAATTTGAAGGATGTTAGAACATGGTTGGAAATATTATTTCCATATTTTATATTAAAAAAATTTGGCTCTATTCAGTGTAATTTTTCAGATTTGGTCGAATAGTGGAATTTTAATGACTAAAGTGCAATTTTAAAAAATTGCATGGCCAAAGTGAAAAGTCAAATTCAAGTTGATTCATCTTTGACCAAGGAATATTTTAATGGAGATAATGTAATGACATTTGGTAATTTTCAAGTTTCATTAATGGTATTTTTGGAATTTCTCATTAATTGAATTTTAAATTCAATTAAATTAATTTTATGCCAAGTGTATTATATATTAAATACTAGAATTATCAAGATTAAGCATCATTTTTCAGCTAATTCTTCTCCTTAGGCCGAAACTACTCTTTCTTATAGGCAAGCATTTTAATTTTGATTTTCAAGCTTATATGATTGATTTTTGGATTAAGTTATGTAGAGAATTAATGTACATGAAATTCTTCATCATTTGGTACCAATATTCTATGGAGAAGATGCTTGTGTGTTGAGATTGAGAATTAGGGCTTATGTAGGGGTTTTTGAATTTTGAAGAATTAATGAAAGATTATTATGTCTTTTATGTTGGAGATTAATTTTCAAGCATGTATGATGTTTAAAATCAAGCGTAGAATGATTTAAAGCATTTGGCCTAATTAGGGTTTTGGTGATTGATTCAATTTTGGTTCAATTTGATGTTGTGTTGATTAGAATAGCATGAATTTGAAGTAAGGAAGTTGAATTCATGCTTGAAATTGAATGAAAAGCCAGCCTTACGACCATAGTGATATTCGACCATTAAGGAAAAATTAGGGGAAAATATTGAAAATTTTCCTATGGTCTAGAATTGATATTAGAATTGTTCTATGTGATTTGGAGCCTTGAGTTAGAAAAAGGGTTAATATACAAGTTTTGAGAATTGTGGGATATTATTGCAAGCATGTAATACTTGGGTTTAATTCTTAAGTTGAGATTTAATTTCAAATTTATCAAGTTGTGTGGTTGGATTTGGAAAGACTAAGAAAG